GCACCTGCACACAGCGCTTTGGCCCTGTTCCCCGGGTCCCCGCCCCGGCACCTTTTGCAGACCCAGGGCGAGATGAGACGAGAAGACAATATTACAGGTTCCGTGATTTTATGGCGTGAAGGTCTGGGGTATGCTGAGACCAGGGAGGCTTCGGATGGCGACGCTTGAAGACGCTGCCGGGATGGCGCTGACAAGCGGACAGGAGCAGTTTCAGCGAGCAAATAAGTAACATGAGCACGAACATAAATGATGCAACGGGCGATCTCGCTGTGGACTTCTCTGAACGTACCAATTTGCTTCTTGTGTAGAGCCATCTCCGCCGGTGGGTGGATGTTGCGAAGTCCATACTTGCGCCGAGCCCACCACGCCACATCAACAAACGACTACGCAAGCAGCCCGCTGCCTTAGCTCGGACTGCGCCTCCACGGGACGCACGCGACCATGGGAAGGCGCCAGAGATAGGATTCCAGCTATGCTAACAATGGTTCTTGTACATATTTATTGCTCTTAACTTCAGGTAAAAAATTGATAGGTAGCCAACAGTTGAGGATGCTGCTAAAAGCTAGGCCCCATTGTAAAAGGCAAGACGCATGGTTTGCAATGTATAAACGAACTGGCAAAAGCTAACCACTTGCAAATTCTACGCCTCGCCGTGCGTGAACCGCCGCAAACACCAAATACCAGGATTCTGCCGTCTAACGTGCGTCGCAGGAAATCGGGTTTCAACAAATTCCTCAGTAGGCCATGAAAAAATATATAAGTATGCTTACATGCATATACAAGGCACATGGCGGAGCCGTACTGGTTGGGCGGGAAGCGGGTTGGGAGCGTGAGAATGTATAAAGCCACGCCAATAACTGCGTTTGGCAGGGCTGCTTACAATCACATCTGCCCCAATTAGGCACATACATGCTATCCAGGAGCTCGACTGCCTAAAATTCTTGCTCATAGCTGGATTGTGCAATTGCGGAAGCCGCATTCCGAAACTCAGAATTTCGACAGGAAGCACTGCAATTTTAACCTTGTAAATGCTAATTAACTGATATATTATTCTGTGAAAATATGCAGGGAATCATGCGGTGTGGCTTGGGAAAAACGCACATGAAGGTACAAATAACAGCAAGGAGTCCCACCAACCCAGGCCAACGGCTTATATAATTTTATACACAAAGTGAAATCCTGGGCCGTCACACCAGTGGCGTCAGATTATTGGGCATCAATAGGCTACATAACGGCTACAACCGCTTGCGATAGGCTACGGCCTGCTACGGCTCATAACTACAATGGCAGCAGCTTGAGCGTCGCGTGATGTCGCTGTGATGCGACTTTTCCCAGAGTCACGATAGAATTTTTGCCGTCAAAAGTTCCAGCCATGTAGTCGCACCCTCCATTTTTGCAGCCGGAGGCCGAGTGGAGGCCCCGGAAGGCCCCGATGTTTTGGACATACTGAGCAATGCCTAGCATGACCCAATGGCATCGCCCAGGCTTAAGAAGGATATCCAGAGCCACACAAGACAGTGAATATGTCCGTCCGCACTTAAAATGCGAAAATGAGTTTTGATAAGGTGTAAAGGTCCTTAAATCTAAGGCAAGAGCGTGCAAGGGCTTCAGTCTGACTTCTGCTAGAGCAACTTAAGGATATTGCTACAGCTGCACGACGCCGTGGGCTCCAGAATAATACTTATGTAAACATGCGTTTTTCCGCTGTGTACAGTAATCATTATTTTACACAGAATGTTAGTCCTAATACAGTCCTTCACCTAGCGTCTTGATCGAACCAGCAAGCCAGACCCCGCTCGGACCCTTTTTAAGACACCGCATTACTATCAGGATTGACTAACTGACACACGCAAACAAGTTCCTGCGCCACGTCTTTCAAAGCTCATGAGCTTATTATGGAAGTCATCACCAAGCATTTCCTAATTCTTATTAAGTGCCGCATTTAATGGCTTAGGGTTAGCAAGGGGTACTGCTGAAACTCATGCATGCAGGAATGGCTCAAACTGTTCTGTCCTCAACAGACAGAACAGAAGAGATTTTCTTTGTTGAATGTGAATTTAATTGTGTGCGATTGTGTGTGCAGCAGTGTGCAGCAGTCAGCAAAGCGCCACGGATCCCTCCCGGGTCCTATTACTGCTGTCGCCATTCACTGGTATACGAGTGTCGGTCACTTTCCAACAAGCAGGTTGTGCAGCTCAAGTCGCACAGTCTAGTGCTGACTACTGTCAGGCAGCACTATTCACACAGTTTTAGTCGTTCTAAAGCCACCACGAGACCGGACGACGTTCGGCTCCTGTTAGCTCAATACGGTGATGCCTGTTTAGGCTTGAGAACGTCTTCTGGCCAGTCTGGAGGTTGCGACTGGAGCTGATGATTAGCTCGCCGTTCACACACACCCACACACCCAGGTGGGGTACGGTTAGGTGCCCCTGGCCAGCGTCAGGCCAGGATCGATGTATAGCAGTAACACAGATATACACACGCACACACACAGATGTATACTCACATATACTCACATATACATGTGACGTATATTTAACATATGTACAGGTCGTTCTGGAGCACTGCGTGGCCACAGACCCGGTTCACATTTGAAGCAGGGTGGTCGTCATCGGTGCGCAGTAGCGTCCGAAGAAAGTGTACCGGCAGTAGTACCTCTTGCACCCAAAAGATTTTGCTGCAATGGCGGTGCTGCCTTTCAAAAAGTCGGCCATCGGCATCCTCCTTTAACCGACAAAAACATTTTTCGGTGAAAAAATCTTCGGTGCATGACAGGTCTGATACTGTCGTGCTTACGGTAACTTAAGGGTGTGGCCAACACCACGATCAACGGCAACTATAACCCAAATGTCACAGCCAAGTCACAGATTTAGGCTGGATGCTACTCGAAGGGAAGCATGGTAGCCAACCTGCCTCCCTCAGCACCAAAGGCACCAATCCTGACAGTTGGATAACGAGCCTTACCCTGCCTAGTCATGCACCTGACACATTTACGAAACAGCAGGTTACACGAGTCTTTGAATCAGTATCGGTTAGTATGACGTTCCTGAAGTAGGACAGCAAGTACGACTGTAACGACTAACCGCATTTCGAGGGAGTCGCACGAATCTCAGGAATGGAAGGTTCAGGCATACCTTTGCCTGTGACGACAGCAGTATGCAATACCCTTTAGAAAACCAGTCTTAATCTTTTCATCTCTGTCGGCTCGTCGCGGCGCAAGGTCTCTATAAACTTATTCATTCATTGCCCGTTAGCTACGCGTCGCTAAGATGTCCGTAGGCGAGTTTACTGCAAGCAATATTGCCATGGATATGGATGACAAGGAGAAGGGGAAGGCAGGGACAGTGGACATGGCGAAGCTTACTGCGGACATTACTGCACAGAAGGAGCTTGCAGCGAAGGTAAGCTTTCTACAACCAGACGATAATGAGACAACTGTTTATTCGTGTAATGTGATTTCCAGCGTGAAGCTATCGTGAGATCTACCGCGCGGGAACCCTTGCGAAGCACCTTTCTTTGGTGGCCTATTGCGCACAGGGTCAAATTTCCCAGGCGATTGAGGGCCTTTTAAACTTGGAGAAGTCAAGTCGGCTGGTGGAGGACGTGACAGCGACCAAAGCTTGTTGCACAGCCATTTTGGAGGTTTGCTTCGAAGCGAAAGACTGGAGAGCTCTGGAGGAAAACGTGATGCTTTTGACGAAGCGGCGATCGCAACTTAAGCAAGTGAGGCCCGTCACCGACGCCTTGTTCCTCCTTGCCATGACGTAAGGGTCGGCCGAGCTCCGTGCGGCCGCGGTTCAGGGAACCTCCAAAACCCCCTGCGTGCCAGCTGCCTTTGCAGCTTCTTCACACCCCAACCAGGACCCGCCTCCGGCCTCCTTTTGCCGCCTCAACCTTATCCCCCCTTGCGTCACAGGCCATCCAAGCAACCGTACGACAAGCCATGTCGTACATCGACAGCATCGCGGACAAGGATACCCGTGTGTCCCTGATTAAAACACTTCAGGCGGTCACGGAGGGCAAGGCAAGTGCGGTCTGGTCCCATTCACACCACACGTGGCCCATTTACACCACACCTCAGCAACACACTCGAGCGTCCGCGCCGAGCTACCGATCCGCAGTCTGTTTTCACCACCAGCCTTCCCCTGGAGGTTTACGAGTAGCACCACTTGCATCATGATGCATCATGGCTCATTCAGGGATAGAAGCCCGCGGGTTGCGCTGCCAACCCGCCCGGCTCGGCCTTTTGCCCACAATCCCTCACTCCCATGTCCGGCAGCAGCGGCAGTTGACGCTTCGGACGTCACTTGGCAGTTTTTTGTTGTAAGTTCGTTTTCGATTTTCGCATGTGATCCACGCCGGCATCCCTCCACACCCCCACCCCATCCTCGTCCCAGATCTTTGTTGAGATCGAGCGGGCCCGGCTGACGAAGCGGCTGGCCGCCATCAAGGAGGCGGATGGCAATGTGGATGAGGCGGCGGATATACTACAGGAGGTGGCGGTGGTGAGTGGGTGTATGTATGTATGTATGTATGTATGCGAGGGGCCACGGTGAGTGGAGAAGCCCCCTGTTTGTGGTGGGACTCGTTAGGGATCAGGCTGTCCTGGCTTGGGGGTGGGAGAACGGAGGAAGGTACGGCATGGTGTGTATGAAGTCACGGGGTTGAGTGGGTCTGTCAGTGGGATATGTGAGGAGGTGGTGTGATAGTTGCAGATCTGGATTTTACATGTAAGTAGAATCTAATGGCGCCCTATTTCCCCAATTCCAGGCCCTGCCGCTGCATGTCTGCAGCTCAATCACTTCAAATTTTTATTCTTTGTTTCTTTCCGGCACATACTCTCTCCCTCCTACTAGCCCCACCTGCTTACCCGCCCCCGGGGGGGGTCCCCGCGTCGCCCTTTATGTTCCGCGCAGGAGACGTTTGGCGCCATGGCCAAGACGGAGAAGATCGCCTTCATCCTTGAGCAGGTGAGCCTGGGCCGCCTGGGCCGGAGAAGTGGGGAGCGGTGATGAAAAGGGGAGTAGGAACGCCAGCAGAGGGCCGCAACGACCCGTGGGTCGCGCGGAGGGGCTTTTGCGGCCGCGGCCAGTAGTGGGAGTACTTTTCCTCCTCGCCCCGGGCCCCCGTCCGCAAAAGTCCCGAGGGGTGATTGCTTCTTGGGACATTTTCCACCCAACCCTTGTCCCTTGTCCCACCCTTACCGCAGGGTTGGTTGACGGAGTCGTTCTGGCTCCCGTTGTTCTCCCAACCTCCCGTATTGGTCGTGTGGGGCTTCCTAGGGCAGGCGGTCCCGCGAAGGGCTCATTCCCTTGCCGTCGGCGGTTGTTTTCCTTGGCTTTCCCCATGTAATCTCCCCCTCCCCCCGGAGTGAAAACACAGACAGACAGACAGAGACACCTGGTCGCGGTTGCGCCTTTCCCTTGTGACCCGCCTTTCCCTTCCCGTCCCCGTCCCTGGCAGCAGCTTCACTCGTTCGTGGTTCGTCTTTCCCCCGGAGGCCCCGTCCAGGCAGTAGGCCATCAGCCGACCTCCTCCTCCTCCATCACTTAAGACTCACCGGACCAGCAGCAGCAGTCCGCCGATACGCCGGACGTGTGTCAGCAATTGATTCCCTTTGCTGCTCCCCCTTCGCATCACCGTGTTATTAAATCCCCCCTACTGGCCCACCCCCTACCTGGCCCTACCCCGCCCGCACACCTCTCTCCGCAGGTCCGTCTGTGCCTGGACAAGAAGGACTTCGTCCGGGCCCAGATCTTGTCTCGCAAGGTTTCCCCGCGGGCCTTCGTTGAGCGCAAGGGGGAGAGCCAGGGGGAGATTGGCATCGAGGGAACCGCCATTGAGGAGGCGGAACAGGTAGGGGGGGCCTTGGGGGGGGAGGGGAGGGGAAGGGAGGGGCCAGGGGGGCCCCTGGGGAGCCGGGGTTCCAAGGGCTAGGAAGCTGCTCTAAGGGCTGGGGCTGGGGCATGAGTGCCCTACCCCAGCGCGAACTGTCCTACTAAATAGTGGGTTGGAAAAGGAAAGATTGCCGTTCTTCCCAAGTGCCCTACAATACCCTTCGGAGTGTTGGGGGTGAGGGCTGCGTGAGTGTGGGTGAGGGAGGGAGGGGGGAAGGGAGGTAAGGGAAGACAGAGAGGGGAAGGGGCTCGATGAAGAGGAGGCCGCCAGCGGAGACGTGATCCGAGGCTAAGACGAGTGAGGAAAAGGGAGGGGGGCGGTGGACGGGGCAGCAGTTTCCTTTGGAAGGCTGTTGAGAGGGGGAGCGGGAGGGGACCCGGCACCCAGCACTGTGTAAGGAGTACAGGCAGGGGCAGCCAGCGAGGCGGAGTGGTTCCTTACCGGGCGGGGACGGCAGCTGCTGCTGTTGGGCCGCCGCTTCTGTGCCCTTTCCCTCCCTGCCCTGATCACCCCCCGATCCTCTCAGCAGCGCCCTTGTCGGCATCACTTCCAGAATTGCCGTCATCGCCTCGGCCTCCCCGGTACTCTCCCCCCCGCCCCACTGCCGCCGTGCCCCGCTCCATTCCTGTCTTATCCCCCGGGGGCGCCCGGGTGGCTCCTCCCTTAGGGGTCTCAGGGGGTCCGGAAGTCGAGAGCTCCCTTCCCCCGGGGTCATTCCCGGCCGTCCGCACCCCGCTGACACGGTCCGCTCCCTGCCTCCCACCACCGCCACCATCACCACCGCCACCGCCACCACCGCACACCCTCCAGGGCACCCCTCCGCTCTCGGAGCTGAAGCTGCGCTACTACGAGCTGCTGATCCGGTACTACAGCCACCTCAACAACTACCTGGAGGTGGGGGGGGGAGGGGGCGAGGGAGGAAAGCACGGGAAAGGCCCTTTCTATCCGGTAGGCATCTGAGGCTACGGTTAAAACCAAAAACAATTACAATTGGTACGGCAATCAAAGTACCTTTTATTACAGAGGAAAGAATAACATTGGCCATGGTTGGATCAAGGCCTGTAGTTGGCCTATCAAAAAAGATAATCAAAATTCTAGCCCTCTAGTTTTTTCTACCTAAAGAATCTGTGTACGGTTCAGTCAACTGCGGGGGAGGTGGTCAGTCGGGGAAAAGTAGGGGAAGAAGAGATTTAGCGGAAGGGACGGAGGTTGGCAGGTATCTGTATGCGTGTGTGTCTGTCTGTTTGTCTCCCCGCCCTGTTAACCCAACCCCAACCCAACCTCCACCCCGCCTCAGATGACACGCTGCTATCGGGCGATATACGAGGTGCATGTGGCGGCTGCGGAGGAGGTGGCAAAGTGGATGCCGGTGAGGGAGGGAGGGAACTGGTGGGGGGGGAAACAGGTCGGGGACAGGTTTGTGTGTGTGTGTATGTGTATTGGGGGGAAGGGTTAGGGGTGCGGAGGCTCCCCCCGGGTATGCTGCGGCTCACAACAACGGCTAGGTGGTGCCGGGACCGGGCGTGTGGCGCCGGAGGAGGGACTACCAGTCGTACGACAAGGCCTGGTGCCGATCAGGGTTTCGGAGCGATGTGAGAATTGAGGTGTATATATTTCGCCGGAGGGTTGGACATGCAGGTATCGCACTTTGTTTCGCTTCAGAAACATTTTTCCCCCGTCCCCGCCTTCTGACTCCCCAGCTTCACTCGCTCGTGGTGCGTCGATCCCCGCTTTCTGGCCCATCACCGGACGCGGCAATTACTGCAATCCGCCCTTTGTACAGCACATACACTCACACATACACACGGCCCTGCCTGCCACCCCCCCCGGTCCCCCTCCCCCTCCCCTCCCGCTTCCTCCCGTGCAGGTCCTGAAGCACGTGTGTTGGTGCCTGGTGCTCACCCCCGCCTACTCCACCCCCCTGGGCAGCAGCAGCGACCGCACCACCCTGCTCACCACCACACAGCAGGTCGGGGGGTGGGGGGAGAGAGGAGGGGAGCTGCTCGGAGGCGGCAGGGAGGGGGTGAAAGAAGGAGGGGAGCTGCTACTGCTAGGATGCTGCTGCTAGAATGCTGCTTGCCTAGCTGGTGCTGCTTTTGCGTCTGCAAGCCACTCACTGCCATCTCCACGGCTACCTTCCCTTCTTGCCTCCTCCCCCTTGGCCACATCCCTCCCTCGAAGCTCTCACTCAGCACGCCACGTTACCGCGCATCACCGTGCCTACGTCCTCCCCTCTCTCACCCCCCACACACACTTGAACTTTCTTTCCTTGTCAGCAGCTTCACTCGTTCGTGGCTCGTCTTTCCCCTTTCCCCCCCCCCCCCCACACACACACATCCCGTACCCCCTCTTCTCACCTCCATACGAACCCGCCTGTCGACATGCGTGATCCAATATCGCCTCTCCTGTCGCCCCCTCCCACGCCAACAACATGGAACCCAATCGTCAATCCCAATCAATCCCCAACGCCAACCTCAATCCCGGCATCCCCAGGACAAGAAGCTGTCGGAGCTGCCCGAGTACAAGGCCCTCCTGACCACCTTCACCAATAGTGAAATCATTCGCTGGGCGGCCTTCGAGGCGCAGTACTCCGGGGAGATGGCGGCGTTCAGTGACAGCCTCTTTGCGGGTGATGCGGGGCGCGCACGCGTATGTGTGTGTGTGTGTCTCTATCTTGCCTAACTGTGTATGTACGTGCTGGGGGAATGGGGAATGGGGGGGTGGATGTGGGCCGGGCTAATGTGCCAAAGTAAAAGGAAATTAAGTTAAAGCCGACGTCCTAAGCCACCAACCCAAGCCCACCGCTGTAGGAGCCTGAGGGGGTCATGGGTTCTTAGGGGCCGCCCCAACTCAGAGCTAAGAACGGAAGGAGGGGGAGGGAGAGGGAAGTGGCGGCGATGTCCCTCTCGCCCTCCTTTCCACACACCCCGCGCGTGGCTCAGATCCTCCTGGTCAGCCACCCCCCGCTCGTATTTTGATGGATCACCAGGCAGTTGCGAATGTGGTGGATTCCCTTGCGGGTCTGTGCCGTGGCTCTCCCCCGCTGTCGTCCTCATCCCGCCAGCTTACCCGCCCGCTCCAGTCTCTCCCCCCCAACCCCAATCCCAAGCAGCTTCACTCGTTCGTGGTTCGTCTTTCCCCCCCAACCCCAACCCCAACCCCCCTCCGGGCACGGCAGGACTGGTGCTTTAGGGGGGGAAGCGGGCAGCTAATTCTTTGGTGTTGCATCGCCCTGATGGCGCATGATGACCCTCCGCCCTTCTTCATCGATCCCCCCTTCGTGCGCGCGTCAACGTGACCGCCCCTTCTCCCTTCCGCAGACCCCAAGCGGCGCGAGGACCTGCAGCTGCGCATCATAGAGCACAACGTGCTGGTGGCGGCCAAGTACTACAGCCGCATGCGCACCTCCCGACTGTCCACCATACTCGACCTGATGCCGGAACAGGTGCGCGCGGTGCCAGAGGGCGGGGGGCGCCGGGGTGAGGGTGGGAAATGGGGGAGTGTGGGGCGGGGTGGGGAGGGCGGGGTGGGGAGGGCGGGGTGGGGAGGGCGGGGTGAGGAGGGCGGGGTGGGGAGGGCGGGGTGGGGGGGGCCGGGTGGGGGGTGGGGGAAAATGGGGGCGTGTTAGTGCCGCTGGGGTAGGAGCTGGGTTGGGGCTGGTGGGTGGACGACGGAGGTGGCTACGGGTTGCATGGACAGCAGCTCAGGCCTTTACCAAGCTACCGTCCTCCCTGTAGCCTTTCCTACGGTTTTGTCATATTGCCGGGTGGCCGAATTGCGCCGTCTCTCTGACTTCCCATTTACACGACCCCTGTCCCGCCATTGCTCGGCCCGCGGCTCGGCCACCCTTCCCCGGCCTGCGTTGCCACCCGCACCCGCACCCGACTCCGCTCCCTCCCTCCTTCCTTTCCTCCTTTCCCTTCTCTCCACCCCTCCCATCGTGATCAGATGGAGAAGCACGTCAGTGATCTGGTGGTGGCTAAGGCCATTCGCGCCAAGATTGACCGACCCGCGGGAATCATCACCCTGGCCCAGCCTCAGAGCCCCGAGGAGCAGCTCAACAGCTGGGGAGGGAATATTGGTGAGCGGTTGGGCGCGTGGGTGGAAGACTGGGGAAGAGCGCGGTGGTGCAGAGCGGAGAGGAGAGGGAGGGGGGCATGGTATCTCGCTCCCAAGGTGTAGATCCTCAACGCCCACGTCGGTCCTTCCCTGTTCAACGACCTGGAATTTTTGATATAGGATCTAGCACGCGGCTGTATGCGACCGCTCCTGACCCACGGCTCCTCTCACTCTCGACCCCACCCTGGAGCTTGGGGCATGGGATGGAGCGAAAACTGGAAGCGAGTCAAGAGTTATGACCCTCCCCAAGTGGCGGCCCGGTGCTGTCAACCCATGACGTGTATCCGTACCTCTCTCCGCATGTCCCGTGTCAGTGCGATCTGGGCGTCTGTCCATTTGGACATTGCTATGGTTTCATTACGCTGCTGCCCTGCCCTCCTTCCCCCCGTCCCCTCGCTCGCCCCTCTTTCCTCCTCACGTACCCCTCGCCTCATTTCATTTCACCTCATCTTTTTCAGCCCGGCTATTGGAGCTGGTTGACAAGAGCTGCCAGCTGATCGAGAAGGAGGCCATGGTGCACAAGGTGGCGCTCAGCACGGGAGCGTGAGGGGACGAGGGTGTGTGGGGGGGGGGTGGGAGAAAGGGTGGGCGGATGGAGGAGGAAAGGAATTGAGCTCGAGGTATGGAGGACCAGGGAGGGCGAGGGCGAAAGGGACAAGGGTGGGTCCCACCACGGGGACTATAGGGCGTGTTTCGATGTCACGGGAGCTCCGAGGGGGTCGCCGAGCAGTGTGGGCTGGTCGGGTTGGGTTCCGTCCGGGTAGAGGAGACCGTAGTGGGGGACAGAGGAACTCATGGCAGCCGTTACATACCCTGGATGGTGGAAGGGTGGGTGGATGGGTGGTTGCGTGAGCGGCTAGGAGTGGCCGGGTCCCTAGGGGTGGACGGGCCACGCTGCAGGTTGTTGAGGCAAGCCTCGTTCCTTTGCACCCCTCTCAATGCGCCTCACAACGGCCCAGCCAACCGCTTTGCGCTGTGTGCTCGGCGCCGTGTATCGCTTGTCAACTTCCTTGCGGGCTTTTTGTTGGGGCACTAGGCCGGTCTCCTAAGCCGTAGGGACCCGGGAGGCAGGGGTGCAGTCCCTAGTTCTAAACACCGGTTATATCGCACATGTTGTATCGTGTGCTGTCTTGCATGTGTGTGTTGGGCGTTTGGGAGAGGGATGTTAGGGTGGCCTGCAGGCTGCTGCCCAATAGGGGGGTTAGCTGCACTGCCTGCCTTTGTACGCTGTACGGAAGGTGGCACACGCGGGGTGCCGGAAAGAAACGAGCGGGGGCGGTGGTGGGGAGACCGTGCAACCGTATGTGAGGCGGTACGAGGGCGGCCCGATGAGGTGGAGCCGTGGGTGTACCTGGAGACGGCCAAGGTGAGATTAGGGGAACTGTACGGACATCGGTGTGCGGTCACAAATGAAAGTGAAGTTCTGTTGTTTTGCTTTCGCGTCACACACTTCTTCCGGGCTTGCGACCCCGGTGGGGTGTAGGGCGGAGCGATATATGCCATTTGGTTATGCGACTGATACACGCCTGAGGTGCTAAGCGCCATTGACAGCTGCTTCTCAGGATGATCTGGGGTGAGTGAATGAACGACGTGTTTCACCAGTTGTGCTGCTGCCCGCATGACACGACCTCTGATTAGGTTGGGACAGGGCTCTAAAATGGTACTAAGAAGGAATCCCCGCCGTACCACGGCTAATATACCACCAACGAAGTAAAGAAACGCTCCCCTGCCTTAGACACGGCCATCGGCACGGCCAATCTGTCCGGCATTGTATTCACGACGACGACAATTACAGAAAATCACGGCAACGACAATGGCACCCTCCAATTTCCCCAGGATAGATGACGGGCACAATTTACAGCAAAGCCGTACACGGACTCAAAAATTAACCCGCCTTGTCCCAAAGCAGCTGCATCGCCTCCAGCCGCTACCAGTCGCAGGAGAGACTTCTCTAGGCTCACGAAGCCATTCATCGCACCCATGAGCAAGAGCCTGTTTTGAACGCCCGCAGCCACCCATCCACCACAGCGCCTCTTCCGCGCCTCTCCGCGCACACAAGTTTCTTGCCACAACTCTACATGCGGGCATCATCACTGGGTAAACACAAAAAAATCCCACCGCAAAAGTCCCACCAGCACCCACCATCGGTCATCAAAAAGAATGCCCCTACCTCCCTGCTTTCTGCCTAGCGGGTGCGGATGCTTTCATGCCTGCTGCGGTCACAGCGCAGAACTGCTCTACATGATACGATGCGTTCAATTCGATGCGGGTCCGCTGCGGGTCCACGAAGGGTTGCGGCGCCTGGACGCCGGAGTGCGTGACAACGTACTACGCGCGGACAATTCGGCGCGGTGTGACGACGGAAACAGAAACCTCCAAGTCCAAACCTCCAAGTCCAAACCTGAATGATGCTCATTAGATATTCCACCGGACCCGCTGTCGAGACCGCCCACCGCGGCAGCTGAGCCAACCTCAACAGATGCTCATCAGCCCTCATCCCCAGAGGCTTGAACACTCTTGCTGGCAGGAAACATGTACGACAATAAATAACTTGTAGCTATACGCTTTGACACATGTGATAAACACATAAATATACATGCATACAGGTCTAGGTCTGGCGTATACAAACCTCCATCCCTTTCTTGCAGCCTTGGTAATGTACATACACACACGCACACATCACCCCCCCAACCAGACGCCCCCACTCCCCGCAGAATCCCCCCGCCATGCTCATCTCCTTGTTGTCAACCGTCCTTCAGGTCGGTAAGTAATACGTATTGATGGAGGCATGCAATCAAGGATATGCTTCATGTCCGGGTTCCAGGTCCGCCGTACAATCGTTCGTTCCTATGGCGGTCACGATGACGATGGCACCGCATCGGTGCAAAGGCTTCATTCGTCTCTTGGACCCGGGGGGTTGGGGTCCTTCGCGTGAACCCCCCTACATGTGCATTGCTGAGCTGTTGTTGCTGCTGCTGCTAGTAATGGTGTTCCTCCGCTTCCAGACCCGGGAGCACCCCCCCAAGAAGCCACTACCGGTCAGCAGACTTGGCCATCTCCACGACGAGGAAATGCGCCCCCAGTGCCCCCGCTTCCAAGGTCAACGGGGAAGGACCCGACTCCGAGCCGACAATCCGGGCACCGTCACGCGCGTCCAGCTGCACGTCATTGGCGTGGAGACCGCCTGCAGGCCGAGCGAGGAAGGAGGGGGAAAACAATGACATGCAATGTAAAGAGGAGGAAGAGGAGGACGACGAGAGCTCTCAGGGAATAACAATCAGAAATCCAAAATCTCATTTATCCGTCGTTAGTGTATGTGTTGTGTGTGTGTGTGTGTATGTGTGTGTGTGTGTGAGAGAGGGAGAGAGGGCGCCCCACAGCCGCCAAAAGAACTACTACCCACTAGCCTCAAGCTTTGCAAAAAAAACGCCGTGGCTGTTAACGCGCTACACAACACACAAAGCAGCACACGACAAACCACACACGCGGGGACAGGGGGGAACCCAGCCACCCAGCCACCCACCCTCAATACAGATGAGGTAGGCCTGTCGGTTGGGTCCCAGGCTCACGTCGAATCGCGTGCCGGGATCGCTCTCCGACACGAAGATGTTGGCGTCCTAACCCCCGGGGCAGGGGCCGGCGGTGGTGGTGAGGGACAGGAGGGAGAGGGTGAGTTCATGTGGAACACATACATCCGCCCCCCCCCGCCCAGGTGCTACAATCCACACGGCGCTTCCGCCCATTGAATTTCACTGCATAGAAGCTCTGCGGTGCAACGGGTTGCGCAGCACGCACCACCGAGGCACACCCATACGTAAGTACATACATTCAAATCCGCCTGCCGACTTCTCTGGTGTTTGAGAAGTGTTAAAATGGGAGGTGGCCCCCCATCTTATGGACGGTGTAGGACGTGATAATATCAACTTGCGAGTTGACCAGGAACTAAGTTGAGGCGCCATTGATCCGCTAGATTTGGTTGGATGCTGGTGGTGAGTTGCTGAACCCAACGAATACATTCTGAAGTCGGATGGGTTGAACGGATTAGGGTGCCCCTCTCGTGAGGGACCGCCTCGGGAAAGGGGGCCGCTGGTGAAGCTTAACCACCCTGTAACAACATACATACACACGTACATGCACACACACACACACAGCCTCGCAGCACAAGATATCCCATCCTGACACCCACGCACCTCACCGCCGCTCTCACTGTTCGGCTTCACGATGTGTAGCACTGGGATACGTGTGTGTTTCCCTCAAGAGCGAAAAGTTGACTTCGGTGTCCCACTACCTCACTAAATGCTTCGTAGCGCGACAAATACACAAAGCACGCACAGACCGCATCCCCTGCGGGTCCCACCACCCTCACCCCCACCCTCACCACCTTAATCACCACCCTCACCCCCACCCCCTCCACCCTCACCCTCACCATCCCCTCCACCTCCACACCTACATGACCCTACCTGGTGCAGCCGAATGGATTGCAGGTTGACGGTGTGAGGCCAGGCGGGGGGGCTGCCGGTGCCGCCCAGAATCTGTAGCAGTCGGTTGTGTCGATCAGACTTGCCGTACGTGCTGCTGCCGTACTGTGGGTCGTGTCCGCGTCGGTCTGGTGTAATCCACAGCTGCAGGAAGCGACATGTCTCCGACCCCTCGTTCATCTCCTGTTGGCGCCGTAAACAGCCAAAAATGCCTGATTGTAAACGCGTAGCATAACTCGGGACCTCAAACCCCTCAAGATCCAGATCGCCATGACTTCTCACCACCACCACCTAGCTGCTAGTGCTCCCAGTTATTGTTATTCCCGAACCCAAGGCAGCGTGTCATCATTCAATAACCCCCCAATACGGACTGCAATGTACGGCATCTCTATTGTTGGTTACCCCAGAAAGCGGCATTGCATTCCTGGGCGCGAGCGCACGTGCGTGTGTGGGTGCGTATGTATGTATTAGAAACCAGTGAATGCGGAAGCATAGAGCGAGTGATGCGCACAATGCCTTGATGAGCTGATCCGGGAGTAGAGTATGTTTGTGTGTGCGTGTGTGAGCGCCACCTGTTTTCAACGTCTTGCTTCCCCCTCGGGGTCCCGCACCTCGCAGGTGAATTGCAAACCGCGGATCTACGACCGCACCACAGCAGTGTGCAGTGGTTGCAGCACAGTCAACAACGCCCAGACGGACGCGGGGGAGGGGGGCCACCCAAGGGGGGGGGGTGGCCCCGCGGGTACAGCCCCCTGCAGCCGATTATCTCGTCGACTCCTTCCCCCTCTACCTCCACTTCCCTTCCCCGAGCCATTCAAATCCCTGACCCTCAACATCCCAGCCAGTTGCACGGCACGCCCGTACCCCTTCTCACCGAGTGTACGACGCCCGTACCCGCGCTCATGTACTGAACACAGCCACGGGGCAGCGCTTCCTTGTTGCCCATCGAGTCCGCATGACTAAGCTGCCCGGACACCACTGTACAGCATCAAAGGACACACAAAGGGGAACAGACCGTGTGAGTCAGTGTGAGTGTGTTTTGAAGGGGAACGGTAAGTAAACGGGTTTCTCAATTCATGTAATCACTTTGGGGTTATCCCCAGGTGAGGAGGGGTGGTGGTTAAGCTCACGTGCTCTCAATATTCTGCCAACTGCAGTGCGGTGGTACGAGACCGTACATTGGGTACCAATGTGCCATCATTACACGGCCCTCCCACCCCCATTAGGGGCACAACTCCTCATTCACGTCCAACTCCCCACCCCCTCCCCCCTGGCCCCCCGGGTACCCCCCCTCCCACCGTAGCTGAAGATCTCGGCATCCCGATGGGGATGTGCCCTGGGGGGTTTGGGAGGGGAGGGGAGGGGAATGGAAGATGTCGGAGTTTGAGGCTGGTGGGTGCGCACAGATGTACCAAGTTACATTCACCGGTGCCAAAATCCCCCCTCCCACTATTTAACAATGTTCCCTTTTGACCTCAACGCCCTCTCATTCCCCCCCTCCCTCCCTCACACCATTTCGCCAGTCCCTATGATCCCGCAGGGATATGCCCCCCCTGGCCTCATCCCATCCCCACCACCCGGAGGGCCCTCACCCGAATCCCGCTCCCGCCTTGACCAGGTCGTCATTCAGAACCCGCAGCACTCCGAAATTCTGTCGTACGGGATCCCAGTAGTCGCTGACTCACCGCGGCGGCGAGGGGAAGGGGGGAGGGTATATATAACAGTGCATCGACGTATGTACGGCATATGGCTCTTACACCTGACATGACAATGACTTCGGCGTAATCGGACTCCAGGTATGCGGGGGTGAGGTCACAGCAACCAATAACGACAACAATAACAACTAACAACAGCAGCAGTAACGACCGCAACGGACAACAAAACCACCTCCACCAGCACCATGGAGGCAGCAGGCCCCCTCCGACCTCAGCAGTCACTCACGCGAATGAGAAGTGGAAGCGGCTCTCCAGCCACCAAGTGGGCTTGGACACGTGCAGGCTGTCTGGCGGCGGGGGAAAGAGGGAGGGGCGCAGCGGGGGAGAGGGGGAGGAGAACGTGGGGTCGGGGGTGCTAGGGCTGCTGTCGCGAAGTGCAGGGAGGGTGAGGAGGGCCCGGGGTTCTAGGAGCACGTACGTCCTCCCCGTAAATGCCCTGCAGTTGAGTGACAGCGGCTGTGTGTTTGGGGGGGGGTCACATACTCTTGCTCTGCTTCTTTTGCTTTGTTATGTTGTGGCTGGATAGGAACGCCGCAGTGCCATAGGATCTGCCTGGTCTGATGCTGACCGAGGGCACCTAACCGTACCCATCGGGAATATAGCCGAAGCACTCCGCTTCAATTGCAGAGGGGCGTATTGTCCAGCCATTGTCCGCTCACATCCAAGCTCAGGAGGCAGGGGTGTGTGTGGCCAGTGTGATATGAAGTTCAAGACGCCGAGTCATGTGGGCGTGGAGGGTATCTTACGTTGGGGCACTCGGGTCACAGTCGCCATCGCTACTGCTGAGCCGCTGTTGCTAGTCGAGGCCGAACTAGACGCTGGGATCTCGGCCGCGTTGAGCGCAGACCGCCTGTGTTCGGCGGGCGTAGGTGTAGGCGGATTAGAAGATTGCGCTCACTCATATATTATTCGGGGACTCTCATGTTGTGTGGGGATGTAGGGCGAGACGTAAAGGCGCAAGGCTAGCAGTCGTCATGCCGCGACTCTGCAAATCGTCACGACAGCTCGGTACATTCCCTCCAATGCTGTACATACATTTAAGTCGAAGGTGCGCACCTGCTAGGAGCTGACTGTGTTCGGCTTGCTGTGCCGCTTACAAACTTGCGAATGAAAGCTTGCATAGCTTTTATAAAGTGGATAGTGGACAGATAGGTTTATTTAGTTCATCTTCATAGGTTTTCAAGCTTTGCTGCTGCTTATAGGCTAGAACATGCTAAGCAGGCTTCCGAGTTACATGCCGTGCAGCCTTGGATTACTCGCTCTGGTCATCCGATTGCCAGACGCCGCTGACGTCACCCGTAGCTCGTGTAAAGTCGTTATTATTTACGTATGCAGGTTGAATTTCAGGAGGAGCATGTGGACAACGCGAAAGAATACTCACCCAGCTCCTTGTCCCTGACTGCAGGTAAATTTGTTGGAATATGATAGAATCGATTAGACCAGCTATCTGCGCATTGATTTTGCATGCAATTCTGCAGGTTGCAGGGCGACCTCACGAAACTATCCACCAACTGCCAACCAACCTTAGACCGGCGCGCCTAAAAAGTCGTTTAACGCAAAAAAGCCTTGCCGGGACTCTAAAAGCGTTCCTCCAACCGATTATGCTATGGTGTTTAAGTCGCAAGTTGTAGTTTGGGATGGTGTAATGTTTTTTGCCAGTTTACGCAGGCAGCAGATAGGCGGGCAGACACCAACCCCAGGGGAGCTCTGTACCCCCTGCGCCGCTTCAAAAGCGGTGGCTGTTGCCCAATTAACGGCATGGCACGTACGGAGACACACGGCGGGCCTTACCATGCCATCATAGTGCCACCAACGGCAGTGTTAACGATTGCTCGCCCTACACCCTTATGCGGACAATGTACGTGCGAAATCCAACGGTGCTGTCATCGGCAGAGGTGGGTGATGGGGCAGCATGCAGGTCTGTGTTGAGCTCAACATGTGGCGGATATGGCTGCTGTCATGGCGACGTCCCGAAGCCTAACCTCGTCGCTCTCTTGCACCGGCCCGTCCTTCCCGCCCTTCGATGCAGTACGGCAGAGTACCCAGCCCATCAGTTTTCTATTTTTTGGGGGACCCCACTTTAGTACGTACGGAAGCTTGTGGTCTGAGACGTACCGTTCAACGACAGGCTGACATGGGGCCAATATCTGGGTAGAGTCCCTAAACGTTCTCCTGCCAGACGCCCTGCTGGCTCGCGTGTACATCCCTTCCCTTCCTTCCGTATTACCAGAGTTGTCCTAGTTAGCCGACAGTCCTCAAGCTTCCAAAGTCTCAGGAAACCCCTCTTCCTGCGCCTGTCCGCCCTGGACACATCTGGGTGAACCATGTTACAAGGAACGCCGGCGTGTACTGATGTTATGGTTGTGGTCTATCCTGGTTATGGCGTCGACCTTATCAGCGTCGATCGCCTGGTTCATCGTGTTCGGGTTTGACGCTGTCTGCCGTGCTGTGGCGATGTTTGCATGTGCCACATCATACACATGCAGGCCATTCCGATGTCGGCAAGCACGGTTTATCCTTAAAGGGATTTGCACTGAACCATTAAAAGGGATGTATACCCTTCTGCAGCAACGGACGGAAGAGCGCTAAGATCAGTCTTCAGATGAAACTGCTTCGGGCAAGAAATTGCCGTACTCCAGGACATGAGCAGCTTGCAACGTCCCCGCCAGCCGACAGCGTTCGGGGAGTGCTTCGCGGGTATTAGCACGCAGCGAACAAAGCCTGTTGGCTGGTGCTTAGTGCAGGCACAACTACATCATGCAGATACGCTGTTTCTAACTGCACGCGCAGACCCGATGCCTTGATGCAGGTAAAGACGGACTGCAGTAAAGGCTTTATTAAGGAGAACAATCATGTATGATCAATTTATTCAATCAGCCAAGTTGTGATCTCCTTGGCTAAAAGGGAAACCATTTGGACGACAAAGCTTGTTAGCTGGCTCGTAGGGGATAGCGATGATCGCATATTGCCATCACATTAAAGGGATCAGTAGTAGCATTCAAGCGCTCATATATGTTTAGTATGCTTCAGCAAGAGCCCGGGCATCACGTACAATCCGTACGGTTTGGGCGGCGCGGTCTCTTCGCCGCCCTCTTCCAGTAGTGCCGCCACAGATTGCCTTCAAAGTACCGGGTTAGCACCGGGCTTTGCTTGTGAAAGGGGGGCAGTGTTCCTTGATCATTGACCGTCGTGCCCTTTCGTAATTTGGTGCTGATCCCTTGCCACTGTTCAATAGTGAGGCACGACTAGCCCGCGCTAGCCATGGACCCCGCTGCTGCTGTCGCAGCTATAGCTGCTAATCCTGCAAATTTCCCTGAGTTAGTCGCTCAGCTTCAGGATGCTGACAACGAGCGTCGTAAGGCGGCCGAGTCTATTTTTGAGGCCTTAAAGGAGCAGCCGGACCTGTGTATAACTTGCTTGGTTCAGACGCTGCGGACATGCACGGCAGTTGAGGCGCGGCTGTTTTGCGGCGTGATGATACGCAAGGTAGAACCTACCCGTGGTTTTTGGGGCAGTACCCAGGCGCATAGTTTCTTTCTTTGAATATGATAACTTCTGATCGATTAGAGGGCTGTTTTAGTTAAGGGGCTGCTGTTTGGCTGCAGGTCATTTATCACCGTTCTGACCAGGACATCAAGTCCCCTGTGCTGTGGGACAAGTGCAGCCCTCATGTTCAGGTAAACATGTTCAAATAACAGAGGGGCAAGGGACTTACGCTTTAGTAGTACTGCGTTGGAAACAGCGGCGGCTCCGATGTTACGAAACAGTACTTGAAGTGAACCTAGTTTTACACCTAGCGGTGTCTGGGCTCTGTGCGTTTCGTGCAAATTAAGAGATCACGTGATGGATTGGTCTATGGTCGCCCTACCTTCTGCGGTTGAACAGGGTGCAGCGGCCTGGGGGCGTTTGAACGGGGTCGGTTTCGAGGCCCTTGGATGCTGTTTCCTGTGAAGATGTAATTCCCCACATTCAACCTACCAAGTGCGGTGTGGCAGGGGCCACGCTGGCCGGCGCGCCGGCGTGCGTTGGGAAACTGACTGTTGACAAGTTTTCGGGGTGGCGATTTGTCCGCCGAACTCATCTAAATTGCCATGGCTAACGCTTCTCGTCTGTGCACATGCTCGCAGGCGGTGACGAAACAGGCGCTCCTGGAGGCACTAGTCCAGGAGCCCGACCGCAACGTGGGCAGCAAGGTGGGTGAGGCCATGCGTTCCGTTCACTGGGCACACCGCCTCTGGGTTTTGTAAACGCCGGTGCAGTTTTCTATCCCCTTCATATTACATCGGCGAACGTATCATGAATACGATATGGTTCACATTCTGAACGAAGCTAGAAAGCGACTCGTTAGTATCTCTGCCTTTCCCTGCTGCTTTCCTGGTGCAATGGATGTCCCTCCGCATACACCCCCCCTTCCCCAGGTTTGCGCCGCTGTGTCTGACCTTGCTAACTTGATATACGGCAAGGGGGGATGGACCGAGCTGATGCCCACCCTTCTGGGCATGCTGAGCAGCAACCAGCAGGCACAGGTTCGTCATATTTATGTTAAGATTCCCATGTCAGGGGGGAAGCTTGAACGCTGCGGAAGGGCGCGCAGCCCTGAAATTCGACCCACATACAGCGACTCGGGTGACCATACCATACAGGGTGGCAGTGTATATCACTTGGGTCTGTCGCAATACGCTGCATGATGCCGTACCCAAGGTTCATGAAAGGCAGCTGCGCATTGGCAGTAAGAGGATGCGCACTTTAGCTCTCGTTCTTCCTGCGAACGATTTTCATTACTGACTGTTGATCTCCCTTCTGAAATGCATGCATGGTTGCGGAACAGATCTGCAACGGGCTGTGTGTCCTGGCTGACGTCGCGACCTGCCTGGCAGAACCCCTTAAGCCCCAGCTTCAGGTGAATTCCGACATCTTGGGGAGGGGAACCTTGGCCAGATGATTTAGTAGGGCAGAAGGGTTGTGACATAGAGACAGGGAAGCAAGGGAACAGTTAAAGCACGGTGCATGGTAGTGCAAAAGGGTGATTATTTTGGAGTTGTTTTGTTTATAGACTTGCAAGTAGAGTGTGTTGCTTAGGGTTTCCTTGCTTGCCGTGTATACAAAAAAGACAATATTGCGAAGACGCAAACAGTGCAAGAAGGCCTAGGTGGGCAATCCATACTTGCGCATTACAGCACTCTTTGGCAGCGTTGCGTGGGTTTCTTGCCTGTTACCCGGTTTACGCCAAGCGACTGACCAGGTCAACGGCGTAATCTGGCCTTGTATGTGGCTTTGGGATCGCCTGCCTTGACCTGTGGCCTACCAACGCGTGTCGATCTATTTCTTATAAACGGCGCGACTTGCTCTTTGTTTACGACATCTCTCGGACCCGAATCCGCTATTACTTCAATCCACGGCGGCCTCTAACGACGTAACGTGAATCCCGCAGGATATTGTTAATATGCTGGTCACGTTTTTGAACTGCGGCAACAAGGACGTGACTGTGGCAGGCGCAAGTGCGGCTACATCTTTCATTGAGGTGAGCGAGGGCTGTTGGCTTTGGCGACCTTCGGGTCTGCGGCAGGTGTATACGACCAAGCGGGGCCAAGCATCTGCAGGACAGGTGGTCAGTAGCAGTGTTCTCAAGGGCCCGACAAGGCCTTGTCGGTTCATGTCTTCCCCCGACAAGGCCTTGTCGGTTCATGTCTTCCCAGGAGAAGTCCAGTCAGGGGCACAGGTTACTAACCTTCCTCTCCCCTTGGTTTTCCGCAGGCTTATGAAGACGCGTCGGCCCGGCAACTCCTGTCGCCTTTAGTGCAGCCCATGCTGGCGGTCTTGGGCCAGCTGCTAAGCAGTGGTGATGAGGACGAGGCTCGAAACGTCCTGGAGATGTTCATCGCGGTGAGTACTCCGATTCGCATTGTGGACTCGTTTGCCATACCTGTGCTCGACGTGGTGTCTTGAATCGCGCGCCACACGGATTACCGCGCGGAGCCCTCGTGCTCCTCCCCGGCATTCGTCCTGGCTCGTGTTAACTTACTCCACCCTTCCGGTGGCTTTCCCTGGCCCTGCTGCTGTGCTTACCCAGCTGGCTGAGACGTCGGCACGCTTCCTACGGCCGCATCTGATCCCTCTGGTGGATGCCATGATGCGGGTGGCGGGCGCTGCCGACAACTTGGATGCGCAGACTCGGCAGCTGGCTGTGGAGTTTTTGGTGTCGTTGTGTGAAGCGCGTGAGCAGAGCCCAGGCATGATGCGTAAGGTGCCCAACCTGGCTCGCAGCCTGTTCGAGCTGGTCATGGCATTCCTGCTGGATATCGAGGTAGGTTCGTAGCTACCATCGATTTATGGAGATGACCCAGTATTGGGCTGGGATGTGTGTCGAGGAGGCGTCAAGACGTTGTGCTGGGTATCGAGAGGAGCTCACCTGGGGCGCTCTGGCTCGGCCCTCTGGGGCTTCAGACAATAGACAGGTTACTTCGACAGGTTGTGTAGCGAGATTCCATGTATTTCCAGGTGGTCCGGAGCAACGTTGCGATCTGCGACACGTTGATTATGCATCCATTACAGGATGATCCAGCTTGGCACTCGGCCAATGACGACTCGAACGAGGATGCGGGTGCTGGTGAGCTATACGACCCGGGCCAGGAGTACCTGGATCGTCTGGCGCTCAGTCTGGGCGGCAAGGCGGTGTCGGATGCCGCAGCGCCGCTGCTGGGTGCCTGGATTTCGGATTCTTCCTGGCAGAAGCGCGCGGCGGTCTTCATTTGCCTGGCGCAGATTGCGGAGGGTTGTTCCAAGGTGGGATCGGTCACATATTCAGGGTGCGGCGGGCAGGGCATAAATGATTGGCCGCTGTTTTCGGTGGTGGTATGTTCCACAGTGGGGCTGATGTAGTATTACATCTATGCTGCTACGATGTATTGCAATGCGTGTGTGCAATAGCAGAGGAAGCCGCCTTTCCTCCTACTCTCCCTCGAAATCTTGTTGTGGATAGCGTGTTTGGGGCGAGCGTCTCTCCTCTGTTTTGTTGTTGCAGGTCAGGCGTCTCCTAAATCTCCGTCTACCTGAGTGGTCACCCCCTAACCTATGCCTCGTTGATATGTCCTTTGTAGATTATGTCCTCAGCTGCCTACCTGGAGCAGCTGTCTCGGATGTGCGTTGTGGGTCTCGGGGATTCGGAGCCTCACGTGCGGTGGGCGGCGTGTCAAGCCCTCGGGCAGATGTGCACAGATCTTGGACCGGAGCTGCAGGTGTGGAAAGGAAGTCTTGTGGGATCTATGGACAGGGAGTGGGTTGTGATGGAGGAAGGTCGAGGAATATATCTGGACTTTCATGATGGCCTTCTTTGTTTGTGTGGGTATGCAGAGCCAGGAGGCCGACGGTGTGACTCATAGAGGGTGATGATCGGGAATTTTGTGGTGAATGTGACCCTGTTGGGCTGATGGGTGCAAGGATAAAAAAAACAAAGCCATGAAAGGGAGCCGGTATGCGGCATGGAGATTGAAGAGGGAAGTCCTCCGCATGATTGTATGCTTGTCTTTGTTAAATGGATATGAGCAGCTTATCGCGATGTCCGCTGCGTACTTTGGTGCTGTACAGGCCATGAATCTATACCATGTGCGTTATCGTCACATTGTGGGTTTCCTGTGTCGCAGGCGAAGCACCATTCTACCATCCTGCCTGCGCTCATGCAAGTGATGGAAGATTTCAACAGCCCGCGTGTGCAGGTAACGTGTGGGACAATCGAAAATAGTTCATCTCGTGGTTACCAAATTCTTTCTTGGAGATGGAAGCTGAGGGGGCGTTTTTGCCGGTAGCCGATGGCAAAAGATAAGCCACACATGACTTCACGTGTTAATACAGGGTTTCGAGGGATTAAAAGCTTGCCGGGCGTGTATGATGTGCACCAGGGCGTTGTGCCGATGCTGGGCAGCAGCAGGGTGGAAGTTGGGAGTTTTACGCAGGGAATGTTGATATCTTGTTGCTGCTCTCCCCCTTGCTTCGGTTTCCCTCCCTCCTGTCCACAGGCGCACGCCTGTGCTGCTATTGTGAATTTCAGCGAGGGTGTCGAGACGGATGTATTGCCGCCTTACCTGGACACGCTCATCCTCAAGCTGCTCAACTTGCTTCAAAACGGCGCACGGCTGGTGCAGGAGGGAGCACTCACGGCTCTGGCATCCGTTGCAGACAGTAGCCAGGTTCGTGTGCGGAACCCAACCTAGGTGATATTGCATGTGCGGCCAGGGGACAGCGGGTCAGGTGTCTGGCCAGTTGGTGTTAAATTCGTATGCGCTTCCTCCTGCAACTGCTTCTGGAAACCCCACAGTCTGGTAATCTATTCCATGATTCTGTTCCTTTGCCCAGGAGCTGTTTAACAAGTACTACGACACGGTGATGCCTCTGCTGATGCACATCCTGACCTCGGCCAATGCCAAGGAGCACCGGTTGATGCGCGCTAAGGCACTGGAGTGCATTAGCTTGGTGGGCATGGCAGTAGGCAAGGACAAGTTCCGTGCGGATGCGCGCACCGTGCTGGGCTACATGCAAGGAGTGCAGGCGGGCGGCGTGGACGCGGACGACCCGCTTTCATCCTACATGCTGCAGGTAAACTTTGTTGCAGCAAAAACACATCGAGTGGATTTGGGCTCCAAAACGTGTTCAGCGATATTTAGCACGACACAGTGATGTTCAATTGGCAACGGGCAGTGGCTTTGTTAAGTGGAAAGAATGGGCAGTCGAGGCGTGTTTTTGAACCCCGGTTGTTTCGAATCCCGCCATTATCATTCGTTGCAGCCCTGGAAGGTCGGCCACCGATCTCGCCTACACTATGAAGCGCCCAGTTTTAACCATTTGCCGGCAGCCCATTCGTCGCAGCCCTTGTCAACTTTGCCGTGTTGCTTTCTAAGCTCCCATACCAATCAACCGCAACCTGAACGCGGTCGTGCCTCTTTCCCTTGTTCCAGGCTGGCGCGCGGCTTTGCAAGTGCCTCGGGTCCGAGTTCATCGAGTACCTGCCGCTGGTGCTGCCCTCGCTGCTAGCTTCGGCCTCTGCGGACCCCGACGTGCAGGTGAGATCTGCGGCACTATATTTCGCTATACCCCCCTGCATCACAGGGTTTGGCACGGCTTAGATGAGCCCCCTCTGTGTTGAAGTTCCTCGCTTTCAACCCCGGCTTATCTTCCTGCTCCCAAAAAACTACTGCATTCAGGTGGTGGATGAGGAAGACTTGAATGCAGAAGACCTGCCGGACGACATGGAGGCGATTGCGATGGGGGACAAGTGTCTCATGTACCGCTCGAGTATCCTGGAGGTGCGATAACATCATAAAACTGAGCGGAAAGTTTTCTTACTTCATTGATGAATAACCTCCCGGGCATCGTGGTGTTGTTATTTTTGCACGTTATTATGACACGTCTGTGCAACGAAACTGCGCCCACAGGAGAAGGCCACCGCGGTAAACATGTTGAGCTGCTACGCCGAGGAGCTCAAGGAGGGCTTCTGGCAATACGTTGGACCGGTACGTAACCGTTTAGGGTATTACACGTGTCGCATCGTTTAAGCGCCTTGTTCCGTGTACTCTTTACAGTCTATTGATATAAGACGGCCTTCCTCTAGGAAGGCAGGGTGTCTGCGCAAAGTTGAGATGCCCCTAACCGTAAATGTATGCCCCACCTCGCAAGTGTACAGGTCCTCAAGCTAGTGCTCAACGGCGTCGAGGGCCAGTCGCCTCTTATCAAGTTCTACCTTAACGAGGAGGTGAGTTACAGGGTGACCAGCGCAGTCAGGGTGCATTTCCATGTGGACGCAATGCAGCTGGACGAGGAGGATGTGGAACGGTTGTGCACTTCACCCGGACCGACTGGACATCAAGCAGGCGTGGCTGGCGGCCAGGGCAGCTCGCCCCTATGTTTCGCCATACAGTCCTTTGGTAATTGGTGGTAGCCACGCTATTAGCATGGCCACCCTTGCTTCCAGCCTTGTGTCGGACCTACATGCAGCTGGCGCGGAATTATTACTTATACTTTTTGCCAGGATCGGGTTGGGCCGCTCGTTAACTGGCTGGCACTTGTGCGATTATTAACCCGCGTGCCGTAAAGTATGTTGCTGTAGCTGTACATGGCTCTCCATGCTGGGGTTGCTCACTCGGCGCTAGGAAATTTACTGTTACTTGCGTACCCAACGCAACGATATGCTTTCCCAACGTGCCCAATACTTCCCCAATACGATCTGAAACGCGTTCGACGCGCGTTGCCGTAGCGACTCACAACCTTACCGCAACCTTGACGATGCGCGATAGTAACCGGGTAGGGCTTCACCGTGACGGGGTTGCAGGTGACGAAGTCGTCGCGAAGAGGGCGCGCGTCCTGTAGTCCCCCTTCCTCCTTCGGCGCGATTTACTACACTATGCTCTGGGTAACTATCCGGGACAAGGATACTGGGACCGCGTTGCGTCTTTGCCGTCGCGTCTTTGCTGCGTATTGGCGTTTTAGATCTCCTGTAGCCGGCGTTTCTCGTGCGTTCCTTTCCGCTTGTCCCCGTCCCGCTGCGCGCGTAGTCCAGTTTGCATCAGAGGTTGCGTGTAAACGTTAAATATTGCCCGTGGTTGTAATATATGCCCCCTATGCTCCCATCTTGTTCCTGCTGTGCTAACCTAGATTCGCCGCTCTGCAGCAGCGCTGCTGCCCAGCCTATTGCGGTGCTGCATCGCCGCCGCCGAGCGAGGTGTTCAGGGGGCCAGTCCTGCCGCCACTGCCGAATTCCTGCGGGCGGCTTGGACCCCCCTTTTAGAGGCGCTCCGTAAGGTAAATGAGCCCAAGTTCCGATTCGACGGGGGTGTACACGTATCCAGGTCCGAGCGCATGCTGGATGGCGGTGATGGTGGGAAAGACAAGTTTGTTTTCCAATCGCCTAGCCGCAGTAGAGTAGCAGGGTTTTTTGTGGTGGGGTAGTGGCGTGGGTGGTGCGTTCCTCCCATTCGCCCCGAAGCAGCCATAGCAATACAGCCATCGTGCTTTCGTACTGGTAACCCGGATGTCGTACCGCGTGCCCACGTGCAAAATGCAAAACGAACTTGTCGTACGTGCCATGTACGGCAATCTGTGTGCCCGTGCGGTGCACAGGTGGACCTTCCCCCTGCGCCATACACCTGAAACACCTGCTTGATTGCGGAAGGGCTGGTTTGTTTGTTTATCTCATTACTCATGTCACCATTGCACTGAAACACGCAGGAGCCTGAGGGCGACATTCAGGCTGTGCAGCTGGACTCCATTGCGGAAATTGTTGAGATGGTAAGATGGGCTTTGTGGTTTTTTTTTGGGAAGAGAAACGGCCCAGAGGATTGACCTGGGTCCTTGTCCATGTCCACCGTAGTCTCGCCCACATGCATATGTTGCCCGCTGCGTCTCTAGCTTTCATGCTGAATCCTTTTCCTACACGTGTAGTTCCAGCAGGCGGGAACATATGGGGCTGAACCACCATTCCTAAACCCACTCCTGATTCTTTTCGCCATGGTTCCCCCACGGTTCTTAGGTGGACAAGTCCCTGCTCACCCCGGAGCCCATCGCCGCGGCCTTCAAGGTGTTTGACATCGTGCTGGAGAAGGTGCGAAAGCGCACATGTCTATATATGCATAGGTCGCCCAACTCGTGGTCTGCGCTATACCTCGAGCCGCGCGAACAAGTTTGACGCTTTGTAATTGATTGACCCTCGCAGGCTGACAAGCGGCGGGCCGATCGCGCCGACCGCCGCACCACGGAGGACTTCGACGCAGAGGAGGCGGAAGCCATTGAGGCGGAAAACGAGCTAGAAGAGGAGCTCTTTGATCAAGTAGGATTTGAGGCGTGCCAGGCTTTGTACTGACGTTTCCCCCCCAGCTTTTCCCACCCTGATGCACCGGGATATGCGGACCGTATCGTAGCTTGCTTCACGACAGGGTCGCTGGTCCGTGGCTGCTAGTGCTTCTTGAGCACAGCCATAATTGTTGCTGCTGCTACTGCTGCTGTTGTTTCACCATCTTTCCACTCCTGCTGCTGATTGCAGGTTGCCACTGCGGTGGGGGCCTTCCTCAAGAAATTCGGGGACGATGTGCTGCCGCTGGTGGAGTCGTTGCTCATGACGCGATATGGGGCTATGCTGACGGTGAGGGTGGTGCAGGCTAATGGCTAAACTGGTAGTGAAGTGCATAGGCATGGAACCCGTTAGCAACGATCATAAGAGCGAAAAAACATTCCGTACCGTTGTGCACCCGGTATGTTGCCATACCTCTGGAATGTCTGTGCTCTTGCGCAAACAGTCCCGCATGACCCCCTTCTTAAAAGCTCCCAGCCGAAACGTCTCGATTCGATCAAGCGAGGGTTTTGAACCAAACCGAATGGTTGTGCTCGTAAGCGTACACCGAATGGACACAGACTGTCCGGCGACACGATGTCCACTGAACAGACTGTCCGGCGACACTATGTCCACCGAATAATCTCATAGGTCAACATGTTTCGCAATACTGCTCCTACCCTGGCCCGAGCAGGACAAGAGCCGTAGCGCTGAGGAACGGCGCATTGCAATCTGCCTGGTGGATGACCTGTTGGAGAACTCACCGTCGGGGATGGCCAAACATTTCAACAACGTGAGTGAGGAAGATTCGCCCGGTACTTAGTATCGACCATGTCAGTATCCGGGGGCCCAATGTGGGCATTTGTTTTGTCGGTCTACCCTGCAAAAGTCTCGAGGCTTGGTGACCGCATCCCCTCTTCATCACTTGCGCACATCCTTGCGTTGTCGTCAAACTTCGCGTGTCACTGGACTCCCTTGGGTTGGCGTTGCCCAACATTGTGTGGCTGGACCCAACCTCAGATCCCTGGCCATTTATGAGTATATGCATGCGGCTTTAGCACGCTTCTATATTACCACCAGTACCAGCAGCCCTTGCATTTCAGATGGCGAGTGATTACTTGTCTCCTTTAACGCTTGCTTGGTCAACGCAAATTGTCACATCCCCGTTGTGCAGGTCCTGCCCATCCTGTTAGAGGCTACACGCGCGGATCACGCCGATCTTCGGCAGTGTGCTGTGTACGGTCTTGGTGTGATGGCTGCAAAGGCGCCGGTGGAGCTGTTCCGACCGCATGCCGCTGCAGTAGCGGAGATTATGGCGGGTATTATTCAACACCCAGATGCCAAGTGGGTGGGGCGCAAAAAGAGTGCATAGCTGGGTAGGAGGCGGTGATGGGGCGTCGCGCAGTTTTGATAAATTGGTGTTGTTGGATTACTTACATAGGTTGCTCCCATAATAATCGATTTCGGTTTTTGCATCCGCTCCAAAACCGCCGTCACCACCATCCTATCTACTGACGTTGAATCCTGCCGTCATGTTCCTCATTTTGACATATATGCAGGAATGAGGACAACGACATGGCCACTGACAATGCAGTTGCGGCGCTCGGCCGCGTGCTGACGCACCATGCGGAGGCACTCGGCCCCGACGGTGGGGCGGCGGCGGCCACGCTCTGGCTGCAGTCGTTGCCCCTCAAGGCGGATGCTGTAGAGGCTACGGTACGTGAGCGTTGGGCGGGGTACTGGCTTGGAAATGGAGGGCGCATGACATCGAGCGATGTGACCTAAGCGTCGTGTGGGTGGAGTCGGCGCGCGGGCGCGGCGCGTGGGCGCGGCGCGTTGGCTAATGGATTCATTGCCATTGCTGAAGGGCAAGGCGTTGCGTGGGTGTGGCGTGCATCACGGGTTCTTAAGAGCTTGGCCCCTGGTACACGCGTCATGCATTCGTGTCGATCCATTCTCCACTCAATTGCAATCCAACTGGGCCTCGCAGGCAATGCACGAGCAGCTGGTGAAGATGTGCGAAGCCCAGGACCCACGCATTGTGCCCCACGCCGCCAAGGTGGCGACTGTGTTTGCGGAGGTACTGGGCGGCGGTACTACGTATGTGGCGGGTCCCGTTGGGGTGCGCATGGCGCAGCTACTAATGCGGTTGCAGGGCGCGGTGCCGGGTAAGCGGGGCAGAATATCGAAAGGTCCGGGAAGGGTAAAGGATGCGTTTGGCGCAGGCTTGGGAACGAAGAAAACCACTTGTGGCCGAGAAGCGATCCCAACAATTAGGCGGTGCTGGGGTGCTAACCGTCTAGATGGTGCCGGAAAGGAGTTCAAGAAGCCTGCGGGCGGAAGACCTGGAGGTTACGATATGTATTCGCCCGTGACGCTTTGGTGAAGGGCAACTGGAAGGAGAGCCGTAGAGGCATGGGAAGCCGCTGCCCGGCAGGGGTTAACAGTTGTCGCAGGACCGTTTTTCATCACAGCCATTTTCTTATTATTTCCCTACCTTGTCCCTTGGTTGCCCTGCAGCTGAGGCGATTTCATCCGTGCTGTCGACCTTCAAGCCCAAGCAGCAAGCTAGCTACCAGGCGTACATGGAGGGCCGCGTTCCCGAGTAATTCCGAGTTGAGCGTGTCTGACGGAATGGAAAGTCTGAACTTCCAACCGCAGGCTGGGCAGACCAAACTTGCGTGATAGTGAGGTGCATGGGCCGAGCACGGCAGAGGCAGGGTAGCTGGCAAAATTGGGTATTCGGTAGTGAGCCTTGCAGAACCGTTCACTTAAAAGAGGTGAACGAGATTTGTATGCTGAAGCTTGATAGTATAGTCCGTAGCGTAGCACATTTGGCCACCCGCCAGCACTCCCCGCTAAGGAATATGTGGAACGTGTATGGACGGCGGTAGGTGTTGTGGGGGGGAGTAGGGGTCTGTGAGGAGCCCAAGGATGCGTCCGGCTTGGCTTGGGGACCCCTGATATGAGGTTATATCCCTGTTTGTTGTAATATGCCGACGGGGAGGCTTACACCTGACCTGGATCAAGCAGTGTTAACAGGGGAAACAGAAGCGGCGGTAGCAGAGGACTAGCAGAGGACCAAGCTTGCTGGGCGGCTTGCGTTACTAGGAGTTTGTGTATCGTAAACTGGGCACAGGTGTCAGTTAGGGACTCTCGCATTAGGCGACAGGAGCGTTTTGTGTGAGAGCAGCAGTTCAGCACCTAGCGGGGCCAGAAGGTGGATATTGTCGCTCCAGCCGACGGCAATGGCGCTCATGAGGGGTAGCTGTAGAGGGTAAAGCAGGATTGTCGGGTAGCGGTGTTGGGTGCTAGGGGCATGGGTTTTATTTAGGTATATAGGTAAGTTGCCGGGCCGTACTGGCCTGGCACGTGCAAGTAGTGCAAGAGTTTTTCCTGGTTCGTGTGTGGTTGCGGGTATGCGAGGGAAATGTATCCGCGACGGGGAGGAAGTGGGGCGAGAGATTGCGTTTCATGTGGGGGGAGTACTTGCAACAAGCTGAGCATGGGCCGCGCAGGGTTGTGTCCTATGGGGGAATACGTGGCAGCAGCTTCAAGTGGACTCGCGGAAATGAGCTGGCGCAGGTGGTGGAAAACGGTGGCTAACGTTTAGGCAGGATCTTTTGTGTGCACGACGAGCGCGTACATGTTCGTGCTCCGAGGCGTACTAAGCCGTGTGCACAGCATGGTAGAGAGCGGGTTTTCCGGGGCCTGCTGCTTCTAAATAGCGGAGAGGATGAGTAGTGCGCTTTGCGTGTGAAGGTACTGTCGAGACTGTAACTAATGTGAGACCCTCCTCACGTAATTTGCGGAATACGCCATCATATGGGCCAGCCGTGTCATGTTAACAAGGGCCTTGTCCAAAAAGACCAGGGACATGGCGGGGAACAGCGGACCCGAGATCTCGGCTTGGGACAGTGGAATTGGATAGCATGTCACTGGCTGTGGGTTTTACAGCAATGGGGTTGCAATCAACTTGCTGGTTGGGATAGCTTGCGCCTTTTCTGTGTTGTGTGGGTAGGAGGACTGGACAAGGGGGCCTGGTAAGCCCAGGCAAATTGGCACCTCCCTGTCGCTCCTTCCGGGCTTCCGGGCTCCTTCCGGAAGGGCTGCGTAGCCGCTGGCACGGGGCGCTGGCTGTGCATAGCAACACACAAGACACATGACAAGTGGGCTTTGGTCCTCGCGAAATCGATACTGCAATATCCAATTCGCTCCCTCGCGAAATCGATACTGCAATATCCAATTCACTCCCCCCCTCCGTAAGTGTAACCGATTGGAACTCTCCGAGCTTCTTGCGGCTGCTCTTGACAATTCCCTAAATGCTGCGATTGGCAAGATGTGCGATCGAGCGTATCAAACAACAAGGACAGGGGCTCCTTCAAGCTTGATTCATCCCCACAAAGTAACACGCCCTGCACTGCACGGTCCCCCTTACCTTTGAATATTGCCTCAACGTATGTTCCTAGAATCGTGGAATCCAGGGAGCCGCTGCTTTGAACCGGACTCACGTTAAATATACCTTCCTAGCTTGTAGAAGAGCAGCTTCTTTGCAGCACCGTCCGTACCATCTGCGTCCCGCACTTGGCATGCGGGTTTTACGCATTGCAACTGCAATTTCTGGCCTGTGTCAGCTCTCTTGAGGCGTCTTGTGCCCTTTCATGTGCCTTGGCTGTGCGCACCGCGTGTGCGTTGGCTGAGGAAGCTATAGGATGCCCTACTGGCATTTGAAGACGGATTAAAGGCTGCAGTTGGTAAGATGAGCTGTTGCTGTCGCTTTTCCGTTTTTTTCTGACACATGCGTGTGTTGGGAGATGTTTAAAGCTTTGGGGCTGCTCTTTTCATCGTTGGTGTTGAAAAACCCTCGGAAGGCGGTCCTTGGCCGCAGCAGTATTCCGGAAACCTGATAGGAGCTACACCGAGCAAATCAACTCGCAGCCGCACGGTTTGATAATGTGCAGCTACCCATAGCTGCATAGCACCAAGTCTACGTCCAGACTCGCTAACGTTCAACGGTTCTGTACGAATTTCCGATGTGGATCGGATGGAGCCCATTATTGCAGCTAAAAGGCTTAGATAAATTATGAAAACTCCGCCAAACGAAACAACTAGACGGAGCTTTAGGAGCCGTTGGGTTTCTTCCTGGCCTGGGACTTTCGTGCGTAAGACATTGAAGCTGCAAGCTGTAATGGTGACACAGCGTATTGAATTCATTATTAAACTCAGAGGGATCCATCCGCAAAAAGATGCAAAAGCTTATCGACGAAGTTGTCGGAAGGTAAAGATCACCAAATGGACAACAGCTCTGAAAATTACAATATAGTTGCCTAGCTAATTACATGCCAAGTGCTGATCCAGCGATGACATTTTCTCGCGAAGAGGCCGAAGTTATGGAATGCGCCAATTCGTACAACCTAAACTTAACGTGTCACATCGGAAGATGATCCTCTGAAGCATGTGAACGCTATACAGATGTCGTTGCTATACGATGCAGTCATAGGTTTATTGCGAACGTTTAAGTACCGTGAACCATAGCCGTGCGCGCACCTTATCGTATACGTAGAAGTTACCCACCTTTAAAGCACACCTTGCAAGCATTTTCAATCGGCTAGCTGACACGAGCCAAGGCGCTTGTAACTCGTAGAGGTGGTCCTTATACGCAGTGTTGAAACCGGGAGAAGGCGCTTCGCAAGGCAGTTGAGCTGTTTCAATCTGCCACATGGTCGTATAATATATCTGATTGCTATCCCGCGATAATCACACAGCTGCATAGCAGCAGACCTTTGAAAGTTTTCTTGACGCCGAGCAAAGAATGAGCGATTAACGGCGCGAAATGTTTAGTAAAATGATGAGGAAGATATATACTGCTTTGTTGGTTGGAGCATTTGCTTTGCGGCTAGCGTCGGGAGATGCGGCGCAACATTCAAACGGTCCCCTTGGGGAGCAGCCCAGTCAAGTGCACGTCGTGCACTTCAGGACGGGCACTGTGGACGTGGCTGCAGTGCAGAGCAGGTAGGGCCTGATACTCGCACGACCACTGTGTTTCACACCGAGGAAGCTGCCTCAACCCATGCGTCACGCCACAGCCATCCTCACCCTAATTGAGGCTCGCCACATCTTTCTTCTCACTTCCTTTCGCTCTCAACACACTGCTACTACATATTTTCCTCACCACCCACCAAGCCTCCATTACCCTAGAAACATCAACTCCTACCACTATCGTTTCCCTCCGCCGCAGGCTCCCGCCGCCCACCCCGACAGCACGCAGACGCCTGCTCCAGCAGCAGCTGCCGCCGAGGGCCGCCAGCCCTCCTCCCACCCAGTCTCCGGAATGGGGTCCATTTGCCCATGCCCAACTGTGGCTGCTCACACTGGGACCCACACTGCACTGGCAAGAGGGTGGACAACACCACCTCGCCAACGGGGGTAAAAACGGCTACCGCCACCGCATAGGCGCTGAGGCTGGAGAAGACACAGCAGCAGTAGCAGTAGCAGCGGCAGCGGGGCTCCCGCCGCCTCAGCACTTTGGCCCTGCTCAGGCTCGGCTACTGTCCATGCTTCACTCTGCGGGCTGCGCGGTGGTGTCCTTCCTGCCGCCAGCCGCCTGGCTGCTGGCGGTGGCGGACGATTCCGACCTTGCGCCCCTGCTGGATGCCTTCCCGGACGTACGGCTGGTGGGTGGTTGCCGTGGCTGCTGCTTGGGGGCGGTCGGATGTGGGACATATGTAGTAGAAAACGCCTTTTGTGATGTCGTCCTCGGGCCGTTGGAAAAGAGAGATGTATGACAGCGCATTTCCAGCACAGACAGCTGCCGACGTCCCACTCACCTGAGTCCTAGCTGAGTCCAAGGCACTTAGGACTCCCCAGCGGGGAGGGGTGGGAGGGTTAGGAAGGTGGGCAGATTGGGGTATTTAGGGACCCGCTCCGTTCCTGGCCACCGGCCCACACCACCGCCCGACAACTTATCGAGAGGCATAAGCTGCGGTTGCATGGTCACGACCCTGCTCATAATAAGTGAGGTAGGACCATCTGAGTGTTTGGGGTTGAGCGCAGGTCACTGTAAACGATACGCAGTAGTCCGACCTCGTGTGTATGGGATAGGGGTTGAGGGGTTGAGGCACATGCGCGCGGGTCCCTTACGTCCCCCTATTCCTGTGTCCACCACACGCCCGGGCGAGCCCCTCAGGCCCCGTACGGGCCCCCCAGCCTGCGTGTTGCTCCGGAGCTGGGTGCAGCACTGGACTTGTTGCGGCGTGCGGGTTCTGCGGTGGCGGAGCGGATTGCGGGGGGAGAGAGGCTGGACCAGTTGATGGAGGAGGCGCAAGCTGAGCAGGTGATTGGGATGGTGTGTGCTGTGCTGCGGGATGCACATGTGCGCCGTGCGTCCCTTTGTGACCGTTTGTGGCCCATGTGCCCCAGTATGTCCAGGTATCCAAAAAGATATATATTACATCCAGTATTACCACATGCAAAGGTATTAAGTATGGTACTCTAATAATTTTGTGTGCATGTCGCTTCAAATAGTCGTTTTAGTTGCTGGAGGGGAAGGGAACGCGTGTATGTGTGTGCGTGTGTTGTGCGTCCAAGCGTTGCCGGAACCAAGTTTCTAGAACCCACGGCTCTGCAAACGATTTTGGCCCGACCTTAAGTTATCCACTCTCTCTCACACACACACATACACACACCTAACTCAATGAATAGACCGGAAAGTCCATCCGGCGGCGCGGTTGGGGCGGATGTTCGGAGGGGTGGCCGGGTTCAAATGGCCGCGGTCCGGCAGCAGGAAAGCACGGCTCCCTGTACGAGATCCAGTTCACCGCGCCGTACTTGGTTCTGCAAGATATCACCACTTGGCGCTATCCCACTGCTGCACATCATGCCGCCATGACATGTCACGTGACGCGGCTCAATAACCCTCCACGGCCCCCCGTGGCTTTTGGTAGCAGCACCTAACCTGACCTGCCACAGGAATTTGGGAATGACTTGCTATGACTTGTTCATTCTGGAACCTTCCCTAGGCGTCACGGCTAGGGGTCCAAGGCTATTACGCACCTAGCCTTACAGCCACCCACCCATCCCTTGTGTAATTGTCGCAACGTGTGCTCACTCTAACACACGCGCTTCCGTTGATACCGTGCGTGGGTTTATCTGTCTGTCTGTTCGTCAGTCCATCTATCTGCCTGTCTGTCTGTCTGTCCGCGCAGTCGGGTTGGCTGCTGGGCGCAATACGTGCCCATTGGCCGACCCGCCGTTCATCTCCCACATCCGCCGACGAATCCAAAGCCGACGATGGCACGGATAGCATTAGTGGCAGCAGTAGCAGCAGCAGCAGCAGTAGCAGCAGCAGTAGCAGCAGCAGCAGTAGCAGCAGTAGCAGCAGCAGCAGCAGCAGTAGCAGCAGCAGCAACGCCAAAGTCGGTGCTGGCTCAAACGCGGGCGGGGCGCAGCCGGTTCGGGTGACGGTGGAGGTTCACTTCCCGCACCTGGACCCCTCAGATCTGAGGATTCTTTCAGAAGTACGGCAGGTACGGCGGGTATATGGCGGCAGGGCTTTGGGGCTCCGGGGTTGATACCTGACCGTCGCCCTTTCTTCTGCTCTGCTCTGCTCTGCACGTCTGTCCCTGACCCGTCCCTCCAGCCACCCGGTCAGTTGTAATGCTTTCGCCTCCGCGCATCCAGCCGCCCATCCACTCGCTATGTAACCCACGTTGAAGACTCTCCGCACGTTTTTATCAAAACCTTTATTGACTGGACAGGGCCAGGCTGATGCCACCACCACCACCAGCAGCAGCAGTAGTAGCGGCGACAGCATGGAAGATAGCTTTGCCGGCCAGCTAGCTAGGAGAGGCCGCCGCAGCCGCGGCGGCGGCGGTGGCGGCGGCGGGGGTAGTGGAGGTGGTGGCGGCGGCGGCCGCCGATTGCCGTACAACCCTGCGGCTGCTGCCGTCTCGGACTGGCAGCCTTCGCTGTCTGCTCTCTCCCCCCCGGACTGCCCCCCGGTGTTGGAGTCCGACTTTGGCAGCCCCGAGCTTCTCCTGGTCGCGGTGTGCCCCGTGGCGCTGGAGGCCACTGTGGAGTGGCTGGCAGCTGCCCCGCAGGTGAGCTAGGGATGAGGGAGGGATGGGGGAGGGAAGGTGCTACATCAATGAACAGGAGGGGAACGCGCATGAGGGCATGGTTCCAAGGATAACGGGGATAGGGGGGAGAGTTGGACGAGGGCTTGAGAGTGATTAGGATTAGGGGGATTTGCTCATATGTCC